CAAGGTTGATCCATTATTTACAGGTATTTGATAAATTTCTCGCATATTCTTCTTCTTCTTCTTCTTCTCATCCTTTTTATAAGCATATATACATAGTTTATCAAGAATATTTTCACTATTGTAAATATATATCTTTATACACTTTTATAGAACTGTATACATAATGTATACCTCTTTATATAAAAGTGTTTAACATAGTATAAAAGTGTATAAACATCTCTTACGAACTTTTTGTATGATTTTTACTTGCAATTCTTGTATAAAACTAGTCCAAATCTCCATCAAATAACTTCAAAACATTGAACACAACCTACTTAGACTATTTCCAATAAGTTCAAACAATACCCACTCCAATTTTTTTACAAAATCATATTCAAAATTTAACAAGATTAGCATTAATCGAGATGAGATTTTAGGTTTCTCACCTTCGTTTTTGTGTTTTGTAGTTATGATAGGTATGTATAAACTTGAGAAAAAAGGATAATAAAAACTCACGGATATTCACGCCTGAAGATATACAAATTAAAAAAGACGAGAAAAAAATTCGGATGTTATGAAATAATAAAAGAAGAAGAAGAGTATTACAGAGAAAAGTAAAGGGAGAGAATTCTTATTGATTTGGGATGACTTACAATGGAATAGGACCCCTCTATTTATAGGGAGAGGGTGACTTAGCCACCAAGTAATAAACCCTAGAATCTCTCTAAATATAGACATTCACCATAAATAAAATTCTATTTATAACACTGCCCCTTGAATGTCTATTCAACCGATAATGTGCCTCGTTAAAACCTTAGCTAAAATAAAACCCAATGGGAGAAAAATTCTAGTAAAGAAAAAAGAGTACGCATATATAACAATACGCCTTTTGGTTGCCTCATTAAAAACCTTGCAAGGAAAACCCAGTGGGACAAAACCTTGTGAGGAAAAAAGAGTACAACGCGTATTAACTCCCCCTGATGAGAGCATCAATTCACATCCTTGAGCATTTGCATTCCAATCTTGTGCATCATCTTCAAAAGATCTTTGGTAGAGACTTGATAAACAAATCATCCATATTAACTTGAATGAATATATTGCACCTTGAAATCATCATTCTTGATAGAGATGAATTGTCTTCATATGATCTTGTTGGAATCGTCAGTTCAATATCTTCATATAGAGGTGAAAACTCTTGCTATCATATTATCTGCCTATAGTTATAGCAAGATACATTTGTGCACAAATTGCACTGAGGATGTAGTACTTCATGACCATGAATTCTATATGCTTTAAGCAATTTAAATCCTTCAAGGATTTTTAAGTCATATAAGCCATATAATAGACTTTAGATGCATATCAAGCTTTCATGTCATGCTAGACATATAAGATATCGAAAAACTGACTGCATATACCATTGACTTTATACTTTCAAGTGTTTGAACTACATGCATGTTCAAAACTACATGTCTTTCATATGAAACCAATTCTATTCGAAATTGTTTCTTCCGACTTAAGATCCTCATATCTATATTTAGCGCTATCATAGATGTCGTCGACAAACATTTTATATCAGTTTCAATATTTTTTCATAAAGACATAACATAGAGATTTCTTCATTCATATTTTCAAGTACCTGAATCTCTCTTGAGATTTTATGAAGTGTTATGTCATGTGATCTTCTAGATCAGTTGCCTCCATTATTATGATCATTTTGATCATTTGCTCATCTTCTTTATTAAGAAGTTTATTTGAAACCGATATGTCTATACGCTTTAAGCGTACCATAGACTTTGTCCTTCTAGGACTTAATAGGAGCATTTGCAATGAGAATATAGTTACTTTCTTTGGGTCAGCAAATGCGTCTAGCATGCTTTGCAATATATTGCAGATAAATTATATTTTTATGAACTTCAAGTTCATATTATTTTATTCGAGGATCAAGATATACACATGATATTCATTCCACGTAACTTTTTCTCAATTGTTTATCATGTCTCCCCCTCATGTTAGAAAAACTAACTTGTTTCCTCAACTTTAAGAACTCATCTCTGTGCATTATGGTGTTAATTAAAATATACACCGCACATCAATTATAATAAGATGGAATTATCTGGTTCCTGACCCTGAACCACTTGTGAGGGGAGAATGTAATATACTTTCGTATATAACCTATATCAAACTGATATAGATAACTTTGTTCTCATAAGCAATAGTTTAGCTATTAAGTGGAGGCACTCAATAAATCATTTTGCTAAACCAACTGTGATGTAAGCCAACTTATCAAGATAAACTATCTTGAATAGGAAATCTGAAAATTATGCTCGAAATTAAATTATTGAGCAAGTTACCTCGCAAAATACCATGTTGCGGGTTATTAATAATCGCACATGTAACCATCTCATAGATGCATCTTATGTGGTATACATGGCTGGTGAATGGGCCCATATTCACCTTTGATATTTCCAGGATTCATGGGGTTCAATCCCAATATTAGTTGGTATATTAATTAATGAGAACAGACAACATAAGAGAATTCGTAAAGAACTTTCTAGTTCTTTAATATTTACCCATGTGAATTCTCTTTTATTTTTGCACATGATACTTGAATTAACATGGCTAAACCAATTATGCCAACTGAATAAATTATCAATATTGATAAACTTCAGATTTACACCATGACGTGTGCAATTATCAATAAACTCCAAGTTTATTATGATATGGGTTTTTATATCAATAAACATCCACTTTATTGTGGTATTCTTTTATTTGTGTAGTACAAACTGGAGAATAAAGCGGGTAGCTTTTACATACATATTGCTCCGCTACAAATTGTAGTAATAGAAGATATTAAATCTTTCCTTTATTTATAGTCTCAATATAACCAACCGCTTTCGCGAATACTTTAGAAACTAAACAAGTTTCTTTGAGACTTACTATAACACAATATCTTATTGGTAATCAATTGTGTTTCTCCAAAATAGTAATAATTGGCTCTTCCAGAGCTCTCAATTAATTTTGTAGTACCATATATTCATCAACACCCATATGGTGAATATCTCTTTTAAAGAGAAAGTTATACCATTATGGTTATGGTCAAAATTATATGCAAGATCTGTTTCTTGCATTACCGTTAATCACAATGCCAAAATATTTTGGCGTACAATAGGTACGTGACCAATGATCATTCATGCCATAATAATGACATTATTTTCTTATATCATCTCAAACCTTCTTTTAGAGGTGAGTGCGGTATATTCACTACCACTAGCACGTTCATATTCTTTGAAGAATGAATATGTATCCATAAATCAGATGTTGTCACATTCACATCATGAATGGACCATAATCATCTATATGTGCTTTATAAAATCTCATCTCAAATCGATGACAAATATTACTTTCATAGAGTGAAGGATTATTTTGAGAATCCTTATTATTCTCATTATCACAATGATGACGATTATAATTTCGTCTAGTGCCACGTCCACATCCATTGATACCTTCACGGTAATAATTTTGTCTTCTTTCAGACTTATCACATATTGCTATCACATTCTCTTAAGGGAATGAGAATGGAGCAAATTCAATGGGACGGGTTTTCACTTCTTGTGCTCACGATCATACATGACTTTGATCATGGCAAGACATAGAAATTTTACCACTTCAGGTGGTTATAATTTCTTACAAACTCAATTAGAGTTATAATCAAACTTTGTTGTCTTTGCTTGTATATAAAATCAAATTATAGAATTTCAAGAATTTAAAAGAGAAAAATAAAGTAAAATACTTACCTTAAATCCAGAATTTAATCATGAAGGAAGTTCATGGAATAATTGACCATCATTATGCTCAATCCCAAAGCTTCTACTCAATTGGTTAGAGTCTCGTGCGGATAACGTGTTATGAAATAATAAAAGAAGAAGAAGAGTATTACAGAGAAAAGTAGAGGGAGAGAATTCTTATTGATTTGGGATGATTTACAATGGAATAGGACCCCTCTATTTATAGGGAGAGGGTGACTTAGCCACCAAGTAATAAACCCTAGAATCTCTCTAAATATAGACATTCACCATAAATAAAATTCTATTTATAACATCGGAGAAGTATTGGTTATGGGAGAAGGCACAAATGAGTGTTGATTGAGAGTCTCGATCAAAGGTTACACTAAAAACGGGGAACTGATTTTCGTTTTCATTCTGTTGGCATATGATTCTGTTTTATTAATTAATTAAATATTTATGGGTGAAAAATGAGGAGAGAGCTACAATAGGGGTAGGTAGGTGACAAAAAAAAAGAAAAGATGAGGTTGTCATAGTTAGAGGGAATGGGAAAAGAAAAAAATCTTATTAATATTTAGCTACACGTTTGCAAACTTGTAACTGGGCTAAAATAGTGCAAGATCAACTTATGGAATGCATTATTTTGTAACTTTGTCAAAAAAAAATTCGTACATTTAGAACTCCATAAGGTTTAGAAGTCTTTTGTCCAAATATAAATTTATTAATTGAAAGAGAATATATAGGAAACTATAGAAATAAAGTCGGTAGTCCCTTTCCTTTTAATTTGAGCTATACACATTTTATCTTATACTATATATGAATCCTTTGTTTTTGTGAATTATATTATATATACAAACACTTTTATAAGATTTTGTTTGCAAATAATCACCATTATCGATGGAACATAATCAAATAGGTTGGAGCTTTATATTTTCAAGGAACATAGTATTTTTAAGTTATATTCAATTGGGAAAGGAAGATGCTTTTTAATTTTATCGTGCCTTTCCAAGCTATGATTTAATCCATATTAATTATCAGGCAAAGAACAAATAATACTATTTGTTGTATGCATAAGCCAATAGTATGTTGTATTCGGTTTCTCTAAGAATAACTATTTTTCTCTAAGTCATTTTATAGATTTGAGTGTGAGATAACAATGCTTAAACTAATACTTTATCTTCAATATATATTAGATTAGTGGGGTAGCCCGGGCTTATATTAGATTAGTGGGGCCCAACCTGAACAAAGTTGTACTGTCGTTAGCAAGAAGGTGAGTTTGTGTTTAGAAGAGAAAGAGAAGATACAGATCTGTTACTAAAATGTTAGAGAGTAACAGGAGACCATAGATAGCTACTACATAAATGATGTTTTTTCTAATCCCTCTATTTCTAATTCATATGTAACACAAAAACTTATAGCTTTCCAGTAGCACCTTCACAAGCCTGTGTAAGATGGCAAGAATTAGCATAATTATTAACAAAGATGATAAAGTATTATGTCAAATAAGTTTTAGCAACACTGAAATAAGGGTGGGTATATCAAGTTTAGAATCAAGGCAATGACAAAGCAAGATTTGAGAAGCAGAAGAATGGTAATGTTGGATTGATATTATTACTACAAAAAGCTTTAGATCTTAAATGTAAACAGAAGAAACAATAAGCAAAGCGAAAAATTTTAAGGCGGCATTTTAACAGTGAAACAAGCAAAATTTAATAAGAGCAGTAATTGAAGAAGAATTTGACCTTATACTTCCTTTATGTTTTGTTGTTTGATGTAGGTAATATTGTTAGGCGGTTAGCCATGTCAAAGGTTCGATTGCACTCTAATTAAGATTGTTCGTGTTAGAGGGTACCAGCGTAAAATAAGTAGAATAAGATATTAGTGTATTGTTGACTCGTAGAAGCAGACATGATCTTTTTCTGTTACAAAGCACCTTCATCCCTAAATGACAATACTCTCCATGTAGGAATACATAAATTATCAACATTGCCATGATATGAATTTCAACCAAAAAGATGACAGCAGCCTCAAGAAGGCTATATTTAGTCATTTGAAGAACTATCAAGCTTTACTTTGTTATCAGTGAGCAGAGTCTATACAATCAGGAATTAGGAAGTATCCAATCCCAGGAAAAAATATCTGTTTTGTTAACTTTGATTAAAGAATAAGTTATTAACTTGTACGTAGATGCCAAAAGGCTTTGTTCTAAAGAGGGAAAGACTAAATAGAAGTATAGCTAGTGAAATGAAATATCAATCGTTAAGAAAACCTTATGAATGAATGTCAGTGAATATTATATAGTTGTATATTACATAGGCAGAGGAGCATCTTCATTAGTACAAAAAAATGCATATAAATCTTGGAGTTTGTACTTATCGTTCTCATGATCTAAGTTATAGTAAAAAGTTATTTTATGAAAACTACATTGAGTTTTAATTGTTACAAGTTACAAATATTTCACTTTTGGATAACTCATCTTGAACATATAACTTTCAAACTTTTTATTAAGTTATGACTTGAAAGAAACAGAATAAATGGCAAAACCTATCACCCGAGTTTACAGATAATTGATTGGTACTAAATTTAGCATGAGACCAAACTTAAGAGGTGAACTCCAAAGTTGCAGGTAAAGAGAGATAGAAGTCTAGATATTGAGAGATGTATCCACACAGCAAATACGATAGCAGTACTATTTTTTTCTTCTTTTTTTAATTATTTTTTTCTCAGTTTTTCGTTTTGTTACAATGAGATGAGTCTAGTAAAGTAACAGAAGATATACCTGTAAATACAATTTCCATCAAAGCTCCTCTAGTTTTGCATTGTTTGATATCTCGAACATGGCGCACATAGTGACAACGGCAACACTTCTGTGTCAGAAACTTCAGAAGTTAGCATGGCATACGTGACAACCTAAATTTTTTCTCAGAAGGAGCGACGATGGCAACACACAGAAAGAATAGAGGAAAAATGTATTATGATGGACCTGCGCTGGAGTATTTATAGAGGCTCATACTATGTAACCTTTCACGCATCCAGCTGCATATTTTATTGATGGGATCCAGCGTGCCCGTCCTAAAAGTGTGTGAACAAGTCCGAACTCGCGTATTTCAAATTTGATACTATAGATCAAGTGTTTCGTTAGCTTCCTGTAGGTTAACGTGAGTATGAAATAGTATTCATTTAGGTCATACAAACCCACCAAATTCTATAGAAATTAAGGGAATTAAATAGATATTTTTGTCCCAAAATGCTAAAGTACCTTCTATTTGGCGGCAAGTCTAACAGTAGTTCTGATAGTTCTGTCGTACGCAGCTAAAAAATTGAGCATTTTTGCCTTCTTTCTTTCAGGAGCTAAAGCATCCTGAAAAGGAATTTGTATTATACTGTATCAAAATCCCAATAATCTAACTTCCTGCACTAAAATTCTTGTGCTTTTGAAGAAGCGGAATTTTTCCTCTCGGAAGTAGCTGAGAAAGGTGTAAAATACAATGGTTATTAAATCAAACAGCTACCCTATCTTCTAGGTATTAATCTGAAAAGTTTTACTATCCACAATAAGTGTTTTGCAGTTAGCTTTAGCAAAGGAACTGGTGGCTTTTCTTCAGCTGGTTGAGGATGCCATTCGAGAAGTACCTGACCCTTTTCAACAACTTCATGGATGTAAGGATACATCTTTATAACAGTCCTTAAATGGAAATCTTCACCAGTTTTGGAAGCATTTAGCATGTTCTTACAGTTGGCAAGAAGTATAAGAATCGTAAGTTCCAACTAATTATAAGAAAAACGTTAACATTTTGTTACCAATTCAGTAAATGCAAACTATTATAACTGGTAAGCGGCTCGATACCTGGCCATAGTCAGACACAATCAAGGAATTCCCTTGTGCAGCTATAAAAGCTAGATGAATATTGTACCTATTTTTCTCCTGAGCAAGCTGGTTCTGTATTGCAAGAAGATAACTTTTGAAATAACATTCCAGTTGAGACTGATGAGTAATTTGGTGCTCATAAAAAAAAATCATGTCTGAGGTCTAACTTAGGTGACGACAGATGAACATAGAAGTTTTTACTTGATATCACTTGAGCCATGAAATATAAAGAGAAAAGCTGTACTCAAAAACTGAACAAATCAAAAGAGACGAGAATGCAACGACATCGATAATAGAGAATTCATTAATCAGGTGATGCAAAAGAAACAAAAGACGAAGAGAAAGATGAAAACATGAAATATACATAAGTGACAATTATACCTGCGACAGATATGGAAATACAAGAAAGTGCAGATTATAGTGGTTTTAGCTCCTTGAATCAAGTGTTTAATTACACTGCGTTGTGTATCCTTTTTACGTTATTGTTTGTGCTTCGGCACATCATCCAATGTATACCGCAGAGCACCTGTAACTGCAGAAAAATGATGTTGAATAGAAATATATCGAAACTTATAAGCAGTGAGTTATTACATTACATACCAAGTCTTTGGAAGCCTATATGCATGTAAGATATTCCTCTTTGCTCGAATACAACACATATTTACTCCCTTTGGATCCTGCAATTGTCAGTGAAGAGGAGACCTTAAAGTTAAATGAGATCAAATGATGCAAAAAAGAATAATATCAGAGCAACAATGAGAAAGATGATATCACCAAAAGAAAAGGGGAGACAGTGTAGAGAAATATGGAGAAATGTTATAGGAAAAAGTTTGATTAGTCGTTATTCCTAGTTCAATAGTCGATCATCTGTTAGAAACTAAAACTTCATCATAAGAACAAAATAGTGAAAGCTCATAATGCGCACTTATGACCAAATATAGGATAATAAGGTAAAAGAATAACAAATAACTTATGAAATCACCTGACAGCAGAAGCATTACCCCGTTGCTTTCTGAATAATCTTGTCATAAACTATGTTGCAGGTAGAATGATCATCATGGCTAGTTGGTGTAGGTGGTCGAATCAACAATTTCAAATAGGCTGAACTTTTTGCTCTTGATAAGGCAACATAAAGTTGACCATGTGAAAATACAGGTTCCCGCAAATAAATTCCAACGAAATCCAAAGTTTGACCTTGTGCTTTATTTATGGTCATAGCAAAGCATAATCTAATTGGAAATTGTGTTCTTTTAAATGGAACATGCATCTTTTCATCTTGTGATGATAATAATGGTATTCTTGGTATAAATACATGTGTATTTTTGAAATCACCTGTAGTTATCTTAGCACTTATAATATGTGTTTTAAAATCGCAGCAGGTTAATCGTGTGCCATTGCATAAACCTTCATAAGGATTTAAATTTCGTAATAGCATAATCGGGCAATTTTCTTTCAAAGATAATTTATAAGGAGGCAAGCTAGGTGGATTAAACTGTGCAATAAATCTTCAAATTGTGTTTGATTATTTAGTTCAGTAGTCTCATCAATGCCGATAAATGTTCTTACTTCTCCGGGGAATTGATCAATAAGCATGTCATTTATTTCATTGACAAAATCATTTTTTGTTGTCAAAATTACACGGGAATCTGTACAGAATGAATTAGAGTTGAAGCAATTCAAACTTGGATATGTCTCTCTGAATAATTTATGTAAAGATTCACGTTCGGTTGTAAAAGGAATGACTAAAGAATCCGGAAATTTAATCATGTTTGTTGAGCTAGCTTGTTCTTGTCCATTTCCAATACTCATCAAGTAAGCACAAAATGCAGGATCTGTTTTAGCTCTCATGTTCTCTGAGAGGTGTAATTTTTCAAGTTCATTCCAGATACTAGAATATAACAAACTTTCATTAATGAAATCTTCCTTCTTTCCATTTCTGACAACGGGAAGAGTTTGTCTAAAATCACCCCCTAAAACGACAACTTTTCCACCAAATAAAATATTTGTATTTGTGAGATCTTGTAAAAGCAAATCAAAGACTTCCAACATTCGTTTATTTGCCATAGATACTTCATCCCACACAATCAACTTTGCATCTCGAATTAGACTTGCAAGTGAACTTTGTTTACTAAAGTTACAGGTACTATTTTCATCAATATCAATGGGAATTTTAAAGCGAGAATGTGCAGTGCGTCCACCCGGGAGAGTAGAAGCAGCGACACCAGAGGTAGCTGTGGCCAAAGCTATGTATCCCATGGACCGTAGAGTTGCTAGTAAAGCACGATATAAAAAAGTTTTTCCAGTTCCTCCAGGACCATCGATAAAAAATGCGCCGGCTTTATTTGAAAATACTCTATCAATAATCATGTTATATGCTATCAGCTGATCTTTGTTTAATCTCGTATGCAACAACACGTCATCTTCACGGACAATAATAGATCTTTCAAAATGAACCTCTTTTGCTTCATTTGCTGCTGTAGAAGGCTTGATAGTTTCTGGGATGAGTTCATACTCATTTATATCATGACCCATAAAATATAAAATATCGTTGATATTATTCAGAGCTTGATATCGAATTTCTCTTCTTTCTATATTTTGTAACACTTTATAGTCTTCGATCATTGACTCTTCAAATTGCTCCCATAATTTTCTTGGATTAGTAGGATTACAATATACTAATAAAGTAGCAAACAAACGCCTTAAACTATATGGCATTTGATAATTTGCAGCTTCAGACATGCATTCTATCAAACTGTTATCACAGTGTAACAATCCTCTTTTTTCCACGGAATCTCTAAAAGTACTACAAGGTTCCCCATTTACTGTCAAAAGATCCTTATAAGATGTAGGTCCTCGCACATGCAATAGTAGTAACCTTAGATAATATCGTTCTCCTTCTGTTGTGACACGTTACAATGCGACCAATAGCAGAACGTTGTTTTCGACGTGCCCAAAATTTATCAGTAGAGGACCACACAAAGTATTCAGAAAATTCTTTGTACAATAAATTGAGCTCTTTAGCATCTTCATCAGTTTCGTTCATGTAGAAGAATTCTGTTAACATTGTTTTTTTTATCATTGGATTATTCACAATCGTATTTATATCAATATTGCTTTTAAAAGAAACAAATTGCTGGCCTTCAAGATGTAGTTGAAGACGATAGACATTCGGCGACATTTCACTAATAGGAAAACCAAAGAGACGCCATATAGCTTCTGGAGGTGATACCCATCTAGCAGACTGATACTCTTTGACTTCATCTATCTCTATATTTGTATCATTATTCTGTACAGAAAATGCTATTTTGTCATGTCCTTTACAAATGTATTTGTAAAGATATTTCATGACTTTGATGTTTGAACAAACTTCGATATTTATGTGACAGTTAAATTTTCCAAGTAAATATGGATTGTACGGAACAACCCAAGAGTTGTCTAAATATTTTTTTCTCACTTGTACAACTTCTCCTGTATTCCGTCTTCTATAACTTGGATAAGAATCATTTCCTTTTAATGTTTGATCAGCAAAATCTTTTGGATATTTGAACTTACAACAACCCTTTTTGTTCATACAAGAATTTGTCAGATCTAAATTACCACAAGGATCGTGCATCATATGCTTAAGAACAAGTTTACGCAAATTTGGTTCTGCATTATCGTCTGGTAATTCTGCTTTAATTATATCATCGTATGCCTCAGCAGTCAACAATTTATGCTCATTACTTAATATAATAAGAAAATGAGCATGGGGTAAACCTCGTTTCTAAAACTCAACAGTGTACATAAAAGCGGTAACTTTCCCAAAGATATTTCTCTTTAATATATCCGTCTTCGACTCTTCTATTTTGGCTCTGAACACCCGGCTAATCAAATCAGGTCTATTTTGCGCCTCATCACTTGATGATAAATGTTCCTCTATTTCCATCCAAGATGGATTGCATGTCATAGTTATAAACAAATCAGGTTTCCCAAAAGATTGTACTAATGCAATAGCATCCATATATCGTTGGCGCATATCTCTAGGGCCTCCTACAAAGGAATTAGGCAAAAATGTTTGTTTTCCAACGTTAGAAGCATCTCGTTCACCAAGTCTTAAAATGTCGAGAAGTCCTTGCAACATACTCATTCTAAACAAATCTTGATTGAATGTAACAAAATCCAATCTTTGAGTCTCCAATTTTATATATTCATCAACTGAATACTGCTGAAATAGTCTTCCTGTATGTAGAATTTCATCTTCATCATCATTTCTCATTTGGAGTTTGTAACAATAGTATTCACGAACCGAAACTGCATCTCTTTTGCGTTTTCCTTTTTGTAGATTTTGAGCTTCCATATCGAGATATCCATCAACGGAGGTAAAATTCTTTACATTCGGCAAGTGTTCAAATTCAAATAAAGTATGATCTCTAGGAAAATTTTTTGCCCCGTGAAACTTCTTAATACCACAGTGCCACCCACCTTGACCATGTGGAAATAACAATGGATATTGTAAAGGATCATAGCATCCAAAATAATAATTTACTCTGTGTGTTTTGTCGCTTTGAGTATAAATTTGAACATGCGGTGCATGAGTAGCACGACTATCATTTTCATCAACCCATATTGCAGCAATCTCAGTCGTAGTAGGCAGATTGTATACACGTTGATCCAATCCCGCATCACATTTTAATGTTATATGAAAGTTTTGCAAATTTGGAATGTCTGTTAAAGATCGAAGAAATATAGAGTAGGGATTATCTTTTAGTATGTCCATCAAGTCCTTGACTATCGATTCGTTTATTTTATCGGAGCAAGCCATTCTATTTCCAACCTCATTTGCATTATCATAAAAGTACAATTGCAAATTTCTCGGCCTTTTTTCTCTGGGATATAAATCATCTATCAGATGATACATCTGCCCTTGAACTCTGAACGTGTAGATACCACGGTTTCTTTTGGCTAAATCTTTATCATAACTGACACCAAGTGAAGTAAATGCAAATAGATTGTTATATGTTCTAATGTACGTTTGAAAGTGCTTGCTTTCTGCGTCATTTCCTAGATATAAATTTCTCAACCTAACTGGCATTCGGTGAGTGGTAAACTTGACTGTACCATTATTACAACAAAATCCAGGTGATTCATACTGAAATTTTTTTGCATAGCAGAATGTACAGTGTGGAACTTTCTTTAATGGAACATATTCTGAGCGTAGTCGATTAAGATTAGTCATACTTTTCTTATTCTCTATACGACCTGCATGTTGGAAGCAACTCTAAGCACCACAAACAGAAGAAATGGTAAACACTGACATTGAAGTGTGATGTTTATACCAACCGTTAGTTATGATTGTTCCAAAGGTTGGAGTACGTGATTCATTTGCGGTACCCGAAGTTGAACCTGGTTCAACATAGTTGTTGAATATGTATATGCTTAAGAAGCACAGAAACATAAATTGACATATCTTTGTGTGCCTACCTTTTTCAAAAACATGAAAAGGATCAAGCAGATCTTTTCCTTTGTCAGAGACATCCAATGAAGGAATAGTTGATCGCTCTGTAACTGCATAGTGAGAATTAATGGTCATATACACTGAGATGAGACATCTACAATTATTGTGTATGTATAAACTGCAAAAACAAAGGAAGAAATAGCAGATTTGATGCTTCAACCTGTTTCTGAAGTAGAACAAGAGACTCCGACCGTAAAATCATCCTGGATTTGAAATATTGATTTAATGGGATTGACATGATTTATATTTGCAAGAAGGCGATTGGTTGCTGCTTGTCGATATTTGAGGCGGCGTTGCAACAACCTTTTTTCCTTTTGAGTCATTGTTACACAATCATCTATTTTACGGTGTTTGGTATTTTTATCATCAGCTTCGTTCGTTGAGCGAGAACTACTTTTTGATTGTCGATGATCCATTAATGTAAATTTTTTGAAGCGTCGGTACTCCTAGCGGCCTACACGTAATTGTCAAAGATTGTAATTATATTATTTCAGCAAATAACAACAGATACTGACGAAGGAACAATAAAATGTAACAAGCAGAAACATCAAAATTATTTCACATTATTTGTTCCCTGTACACATGTGTGATTTTGGAGATTACCATTCCGAAACAGCCAGCACAGCATATCTACACAACCAATATCTCTAAAGGAACTCATATCAGACAAAACTAAAATAGGATATGGCAATACAAACAATAACAAAGCCTAAAATGAGACATCAACATATAAAAGAGCATCAAATTCAGAGAGTTGTCCACTCATTTGGTTAACCTAGCAAACAGAGACAGTAAATTTTTTATATAACTCAAATGAACAAAGCGCAACAAAGCAAAATAAATTAGTCATTGTTAGCTAAGAAATGTAAAGCCTAATGCAGGGAAGTAACACCTATTTTTTTAATAAAAATCTTAGTGTTCAGCTATACTCTTTTAATAGTTCTGTATATCCCTGTAGTTCAGGATAAAGCATAAGTTCATTAAGAATGAAGATGATTGGAAATTAACAATTACATGTACCTCTGGCATATATAAGAGAGGGAAACTTTGGTTAACTTACGGAACAGTAAAACATCATATTTAAACATGTGTAAAAGTTAAGTGATGAATCTAATCTCAATTACTCATCCATAGACATTTTCCTAACACAACTTAGATAAGAGATTTGTCTTTCTCCTACATCAGTGTATCGATTTACTCCTCTAATATTAAACTGAATTAGTACTTCTTAAACTGAGTAAAGTAGTTGCTAGAGCACATGGCTGGTGCAAATAGATTGAAAAAAAGAGGTGAATTTAAGATTCAGAAATTTGGGGCGGCACAGATACATAGTCACATATGGTCTGAAGATATATAAATCCTGGTTTTTTCGGCTTATATTTGGCACATTTGGTTGTTAATATATGATCATTAATCGAATCGGTTGTCTTTAAGAGACACTTGTATAATTTGGTTTTGATTATGATATCAATGTGTTATAATCCATTAGAACGAACGATAAAATAAAGAATTTGAAAATAACAGAAGGTGAGAAAATCAAAATAAAGAAGAGAAGCTCACAAGTAAACTAACCGGATAGCCCAGCAGACTGACACAACAAACCCTAACAGCGAGAAAGAAAAGGAAAAGAGATGGACCAAAGCAGGAGGAATTTGAAGTTTTCCCCAAAGAGCAGAGGTAGTCGGTGGTAAAGATGGTAAGATGAGACTTGCGTGAGAAAGAACAGCTGGAGTCGATGGTGTAAACACGCGGCAAAAGCTAGAGCTAAGGGGCAGCACGTGTCCAAAATCCTCATAGTGGCGCTGTAAAATTTCGAAATTGGCCTTCAGTGGTCAAGCAAGTACCTGAATCTCCTCAAAGTTCCTACTCAGTGGGCAAGCAAGTACCTGAAGCTCCTCAAAGTGTGGCTTATTAATAGTAGGAATAGGAAAGTACTCCTTCAACATGTTGTCTAAGTCTTTTTTTTATTTTTTATCTAAAGAACTTTTTATATGTATGGACAACATTAATGATATCTTTTAGACACTAAATTGTATTAGTAAAATTTTCAATTATAGGGATTATATTGCTATATTTACAAGTTAAATATCAGTTTTTTATTGTTCCGATTTTTTTTACATTAGAGGTCAAATAAAAAGTTGAGCTCGAGTCAATCTAAAATAGCAATTATGATAATATTCTTGTTGTCTGCTCTTATGTATAAGAAATAATCCAAACCAATTTCAGTTTTATGGTATTTAATCTTATTTTGATTTTATTAGTTTTAAATATAAATCTTACAATAATCGCTTGGCAATAAGTGCGAGGCACGTATACTAAAACTAATTTATTATAAAAGCATAATGTTGAAAGACTAAACGTTGAACGATCAAAATATCTACTAAAAATTGATTGACCTTTTTACCCTTTTAAATTAAAATTTTCTCCATCTGGCAACTTAATAATGGGTATGAATGTAATTTTTGTATTAGGACTAAACAAAATATCTTTCTATTGGGATTGAACTTCTCTTTTTCTAAACAAAACCTAAATAAAAGTTTTTCATGAAAAACTTCGAATTCCTCGTGAAGAACTTCAAATTCATTTAGATTCTGATTCATGACATAAGTACTTATCGGAAACAATGTTTTAAATGTATAATTGAGACAACGAGAAACTTTTAATTACAAAACAAGAGGAGTCATTGTTCTATCATAAAAGATGTTTGTTTATTTGTTTTTCTGATGGAATTAAATTAAATATCTGAACCTAAACTGTTTAAAAGAAAAAATCAAATTACTGATAATGGCTTATGAGTCTTGGATAAATACCACGTGGCCTTGAGTGATGCTGATTCCTTTCGTTTTTTTAGATAGAATCATGAGATGCAAATTTTCTATTTTTTTAGTGATTTAGAATAGAATAAGTAATAAAAAAAAAGAATATTCATTCATTAATTAAAAAGTCAAAAAACCATAGAAGATGGGTGAATAAAATCGTAAAAATTGTGCGGGGTGTCCTATTTGGTCACCCCCATTTAACCTATACCCAAATATTTAAAATTATTTAACACATACCTTAATTTTGACAACTTCAGACTCCTCTTCTTCCTCCTTACCTATGCGCTCCTTTCTTCCTCCTCTTCTTTTCCTTATGAGGCTGAGAGTAGTTCATTTTAGGATCTGACCAAACCCATTATTTTTTTCCCCCTTTTCAAAGAGGCTGTGCTTTTGAGATAAATAGTGTAAAAGGATTGCCAGTGATTTTGAGATGACCATTCCTTGAATTCTATTTTTGTTGCTTGCATTACCTATTGTTTCTAGCCGTATAAGGGGAGTTCTCTAGAAATTCCCTCTCCAAATTCCAGGTTATATTATATATTGCTGGGGAAAAAGTTGAAAATCTCAAAACATCACTGATGTGGAAATTTGCACTACAAATTGTCTGAAATTTGCACTATCTGAAGTTCAAATATAACAAGTTGGTTTTGTCCTGAAGTTTGCACAATGAAATGAAGTTTTCCCGATTAACTTTGCAAGTTAAGCCAATTTCAGGTGAAATATTTTGAAGTTTTGTTTTAATAATGCCACACTTCAGACAAAAAAATTCCCAAGTGAACTGAAGTTTGCCCTTGCTATAATTGAAGTTTGCATGATTGCCCTAGCAAGTCAGACCAAACCTAAGGTAAAAATATCTGAAGTTTTGCTTTGATAAGGCTACACTTTAGGCAAAAAAGTTTGAAGTTCAAATTTCAGACAAAAATTTTGCTATTACAGATCTGTATATCTAAAGTTACCCGAAAAGTAAGTACACTTATAATTTTTTGTACAAAGCGACTATAAGTTAAATAGTGACCCAAAAACTTGTATAGATCAAATGCCCCAATAAATTCACTTTTCTACTATTTGTATAAGAAAAGTCATTAGTCTTTTGTATTTCACTCAAAATATCAATTTTCATTTGTATAAGAAAAGTCATTTGCCTTCTGTATTTCACTCAAAATATGATATTTCTTTTTATTTTGTATTAGAAAGTCATTTATCTTTTTACTAGTTCACTTAAAAGTTACTTAATCCAGAAAGTGATATATCCATTAACTTCTTAGTGATGTGATACCCGACTTTTACTCGGAAAAAAAAATCTTTCTTTATGTGCTAAGCAAATACCGATATCTATCCAAAATATGATAAATACTTTGGACATAATTGCTCAAGTAAAAATAGTTAAGAAACATCATCTAAATTGTTATATGGACTTTTAAATATCTTTCACACCATGAATAATGGATACAATCATACTTTAGGAACGCATCTCGTTATGGTTTTGAGAAAAAGGCCAAAATAATCTTTAATATATTGGGGGTTGGAGTATTTTGGTCCTTGATATATATATCACTAGAGAGAAATAGTTCTTAAATGTATACAAAAAGTCAAATTTTTTGGTCCAAGCCTGAAGCCCCTAACATTAACGGTTTTACTCGAAAAATCTATTAAAACTAACCCCACAACCTTTATCTTAACCGTCTTGGACTTGGCCTGGATTCTGTCAACTCCTCCAACTGTTCTTTCTTACCGAAGAACGGGACGACTCACCAAGTTTCAAAGTGAGATAAAAGCACAAAGGGGACAGAATTAGCAGTAGATAAGTAGCTGCAAAAATCATATCTTGGTCTATGATAATGTATAAATCAAACATGGGCAAAGAACAAGATGCAAAATTTTGAGATCGTCACAACAAAACTCAGCTTAAACAATGTGAAGCTCTAAAGACTATCACCATATAATTCAGAAGGATGAAACGAGTCTATGCTCCAGGAACCTCGGGTTCTGCCTCTGCTACTGTCTCATCAGCTGGCCGATCCAACTTCACACCAACATCTTCTGAATAATCACCATGAACCTACAAGAATAACTCGCAAATAACCAAATAGCTGCTGGTATACAATATGAATACAATAGTAAACTATGCATGCGTCCTGTTTAAAGCAATACGACAAAGAACAGACACACAACATACCTCCATCAGCTTGCCAATATCAAACTTGGGGGCCTTGAGGATCTTGACTTTTCGGATATAAACATTTTGTAGGGGGAAGATGCTTGAAGTTGCTTTCTCAATCTCTCTGCCAATTGATTCAGGGATGAATTTGGCAACCAACTCCTTCAGGTCACATGAACTTGCTTGGTTCCTCATGATCTCAACCATCTTCCTACGGATCTAAGACAATATTAAAGGTATGGTTGTGAGAATTTGCGCAATATGATAACCATAAGCATATATGTTCATAAGTCAACACCAAGTTGAAGATACTACCAACCTGACGGATCTGGCTGCTCTGAGCATAACAGGTACGCTTCTGCTGGTTTGGACGTTTCTTTGTAAAAGCAATGCAGAACATCCTCAGGGTATAGCTGTCGGTAGTCTTGACATCCACATGGGCCTCAATCAAAGTTTGCCATTTGCGAACCAGTGACCTCAACTTGTCTGTTGTGAAATCCATTCCCTGTATTTACTTTGAAGTTAGAACTCAATCTACAGCAGCAAATGCAAACATATGATTGTCTAAAAGAATCATCCTACCCAGAAGTTTGTGAGGACATTCTTTCCTTGCACATCCTCTGCTCTCAACCTGATCTTTCGGAAAGCCTGATCCTCGTCCTTTTGAAGATCAGCCAGACTTACTTCAAATACTCTATGCTTTAGGCCCTCTGAAGCAATCTGAGAGGAAAATAAGGACATAATTATTCCATTGAAATTGCAATTACAACTGCAAATTCATAGTATAGAAAAGATGAAAAATCAATGTTCAATCTTTTTTAGCAGAGCACAGTAAATAGACCCTAGAAAAGCAGTTAGATCAAATAATAACATGAAACAGAGTAAAGCTAGTAGAAAACAATGCTCTAGATATGTAATTATCCACACATACAGGAAAAGAAAAGAAAACAGACAGTCGCAACAAAAACAGTTCTCCCACCATTTTAAAGATAAAAGTCATAGAATCTTATTGAATTGTTGCTTAATTGCAAGATAAATGTGCATCTCTATGAGAAGTTCTAGGAGAAATCAACCCTATTTGACTAGCAACATTGATTTTAACTTCCAAATCACCAATTACTAGTAAAGTTCAGGATGCATTGACACAACAGAATTTTCCAACCAAATTTCTCATAACACATCCACATATTTATTAGTGTGAATACTGTCACAACATGACACCCTCGGTTTGAGTATTTAGTGTGAATACTGACACAACATGACACCCTCGATTTGAGTATTTATGTATAATTTAACAAACAGCCAAACGCTAACCACCAATAACCATCAGTTCTCTCCAACACCAAGTCAAACAAACATTTCTTCACTATAATGTCATTTAAGTATAACTTTAATCAATTAGTCATCCTTGTAATTTAGAACTAAACAGATAACTGAAACGCACTTAAAACAAATGATATAGCAAAATCAACAAGCGCAAGGTAGAAAGAAATGTGAAGGAAGAAACAAAGCAGAGACAAAAAGGGAGAGGGGGATAGACACCTTGGTACCCTGAGTCCTGGTAACGAGGGTTTTGCCAACATTCTTGATATCAAAAACCGAGGGTGCCTTAATATCATACCAATCCTTCTTTGCGTACGGATCCGCCCTGCAATTCCACAATCACAAACACACACACACACCCCACATAAGCATTACCCACATTACACATAACACAACAAACGGACCAATGAATAAGGTGTTAATGCTACTTACGCCTTCTTCTTTCCTCCCTTCTTTCCCTTGGAAATCCTCTTGTTCTTGCTGTACAACGTAACAACAAAATAGCATTAGAATTAAACAAAAAAAAATTAATCAGAAATATGATATGCGCGTTAGAAATACCCGACAGCCATGTTG